ATCGTCTCAGATGGTGTGCCATTTTCTTCTTACAATAGCAAAAGACCACAAAAGCCAGCAACCAATCTTCTTTCTATTTCAATTAACTGTAAACCTTGCTTTTAATGTTTCCTTTTGTTTGGTCCCCAAAGCCCTTTCCTAGCTTTGTACATTACTCTTCAATGCCATGGCATCTCCTCGCCATCCTTAAATGAGACAGCAGCACCATACAACCAAAGTTCTCTGGACACTGACAGTAAATTAACTGGTGGTCAGCAAAGCTCCAGAAATTCCTGGGAAGTTTCATAATCTATTTTGATTTAGTTAAATAGTGGGGTTACCTGAAATGTTCTTCCATGTGATAATCTATGTCTACATTTCTTTCATGTCAGTAGTGGAGTATGATTTGCCACGATTTGTTGGTGGGTTGAACAAATCAAGGAAATCATTTCCAGAAAATAGGTTAGCCATAAAAAGAGCCTCTGTAACATTGCTACTAACTTTTAGTTAATACATTCAGCTGCTTTATCGCCTGGACCTTGAAGCCTAAGTACAGCGACTGTGGATATCTCTAAGCATTGTTATAAACATATCTTTGTCCTTTGTAATGAAAACAATTAACTGTTCTTTGATCAGGGATCAAAGCAATTGTCACTCCCTCCTCCATTTTCCCTACGTAGATTTTACTAAATAAAAGTTAATGTGCCAACTACAAGTCTACCTTGATGCTTAATAATTTAATTTTCTTCTCTTTTACAAAGACCATTTTAAAAATCCACCTGGAGTTTCATGGACTGCACATATGCTTGGCAACCTGAATGAATCATTTCACAACGAGGTAAAATGAATTGTCATCTGCAACATAAAGGTGGGTGAAACAGACATTGGGAGAGAAGTAGAGCCAGGAAGCAAGATTTTCTGCAGGTACAATTTGCCATTATTATTTTTTTTCTTTACCATTCTCTGGCTTACTTCATATATCAGAAAAACTATGGTTAATTTGTGTTAATATAATTTGTATTTTAGTTACATAATTAAAACATTTAAAGTTTTTAAACTTAAAATAATTTGAAGAGTTGAAATAATATGAATATTTGGTTGATATTCTAATTTAAAAATATGTACCGTATTTCTTTGGAAAGAATAGAAAAATAATTACAACAATTTATTTATTTATTTGACTTGTTTGCTGCCCATTTCACTAAATTATAAGTGGCAAAGGCTTTTTTCAAGAAAACTATACATTCAATTGAAGCATGAGCAATCAGGGATCATTGGATAAAAATGAAATTCATACACACACCTTGGTTCCCTTTAGGTTAATAAATGTAAGACCTCTGACCATAATTCGCCTTTTAAAATTCCTCTAAAATTAGTTCTTGTATTTAATTATACTGGAGTTATAATTACCTTTGTCCAGGTACAAAAATATAGCTAACAAAATAGCTACTAGGGCACCTCTATATCATTAACAAGAATATCATGAATGAAATGTACCGTAATTAAATGTACAGCCCATTTGCCATTTCTCTTTCCAAAACCCAATGGTTCTTTCATTAACATTAGATTTTGGATTCAGAAAGAAGAAACTTCAATTGTACCACGTGACTTCTTTTGATGTCATACCGGTGAGTGAATTTACACTGCCTTATTATTGAGTTGTGGGTCATCATGATTTTTTTCATGAGCAGTTTTAATTGCTCTGCAAACATTCTGCATGTTTTGGACAGAATTAGTTTGCAACGCATTATTGTGTTTGCTGAATTAGTTATCCTTTCCAAAGCTCAGACTTGATCTCCTCCAAAGAATTATTTTACCAAATTTGTAACTTTGAGTAAAGCGATGTTGCCAGTATGGAATAATTTGATTTCTTATTTCACTTTTCACTTCCACAGCTTGTCTTCATTTTTTAGATATGAAGAAATGCATTCAATAATGTTTCCTATATATTTGCTTGCAATTTGTCTCCTGGTGGCATAATATTCAATGCCTTTGAAAGCAGGAACTGCAGTAAAGGAGATTGCTTATTTGCTTGCATTGATTGATTTTTTTAAACTAAAATAATTACAATTTAATGGAGTGTAAGGACTATTTTTGCTTTCAATTTGGCTCCCTTGACTTACTAAACACATAAAGACACATGTAACGATAGGTATAAATTGTTTATGCAATTTTATGAAAAAATAAGCCTATGAGAGCAATGTGTTGAAAATCTTAAAGTTCGTCTCTCCTTTATATGGATTTGACCTTGTTGATGGGGTAGGCAGGGAATAAGATGGAGCAGTTTTTGAAAAATGTCCTGAAATGTTATGTTCTCTCTGTCATAGAATGGCTTCTGGAACCCCTTTATAGCAGCTCCATTTGGGGTCACACGACTAAGAGAAGGACAAATACTGGCGTTGTTCAACTATTTTTTTCATAAGGATGCACTGGCAGGAATTTGTTCTAGATTTTTTTCTCCATTGCCTCCCAGTGTGATTAGTTAATTTTTAAATTTTGATCTTCCGTTTTGTTGACTTTTCCCACCACACTAAGATTGACCTTATTTCATATCCTATTGACCAATAAGACAGATAGAGTTCTAATACCATTTACCTAGTTTCTTTCCAGCATTTGGATTGGAGAGCATAAAAATAATTGCCAGGTGGAAAAGAAAAAAATGGCCATCTTTCTCTTCAAATTATGCTTCATATTTCTGCATTGAACAGCAGAATGAAATAAAACATATAATAAAAATGATGACATTAATGTTATTTGGAAATAAAATAATTCAGCTACTTTCTCCTACAACAAAATGCCATGCCTCATCTGATACTTTCTAACAAAGCAACTAGCAAATGCATTTTTACAGTGATATTCATATCCACAGATATTAGATATTCAAATTCACAGTTGCCTTTTCTTTGGGTTGCTCCATGAATGGTAGATTTTACTGTGCACTGCTTGGAGAGTCCAAGCATGGGTTAAACTCAGCCAATCTGCCCAGGACTGAATTGAAACTTTAACTACGCCTCTGGTGTTGCCTTGACTTCCAGTTTTTTCAATTCAGTCAAAGCCCAGTGGATGTGTTTCAAGTTTCTCTCAGTCTTTTGCAAATTGCTTGGACTCTCTTTTTCCTTTTTCCTTGTTATTTTTGCAGTTTTTCTTCCCTAGATAGCAGGTGTGGTGAAAAGAATTTCCCTTTTTGTTTTTTTCCCCTTTTCTCACCGTTGTTCACCTCCGCAGTGTCCCGGGCTTGCTTGGGCATTGCGGAGATCGGAGGCAGCTGCCAGTTGAGGCGTGGGGTCGGAGTGCCGAGGCCCACACGATTGTGCCACTTTTTCACTGCGATCATGCTCCTGACCGTAGATTCCGCAGCCTCCGTCTGTGCTCCTCAGGAGGAGCCAGTGGCTGGTGCGGAGCCACAGCAGGCATAGGTTTCGGTTTCGGTGACCATTTTGAGTAACTTTTGTCATGAACGCCATTTTGTTTTTGCAGTTTTTCCCACATTTTTGGCCTGCCATTGCCTTATCTGCCCTGCTCTCAGCAGATCACGGTGGAAGACCTCCTGTCCGGCCTCCAGCAGGATCTGTTCCTCTGGGACTGTGCTCCCAAAGCAATTGCGGCTGTGGAGTTTTTGGCCTCATTGGTCAGGCTCGTTGATACTTCGATCTGTGTTGGTACTGGGAGTGATTGGCTCATACCTTTGGTCTACCGGCTTCGGCCTCCATAAGCTTCAACCAGCTACTGCCCTCGGTGTCTGCACCTTGGGAGCGCTAGGGCCCTTGATCCAGGGTCGCTAATGTGGTGAGTGAAGAGGCCCCTGCTTCCTTCAAATGCCCCTCAAGATCGCTGGGATGGCAGACCAGGCCCCTGTGGAGAAAGATCACCCAGGCCGTACTACCAGTAGGGCTTTTTCCAGACAGGCTGAAGGGCAGCCAGGGAGCCCTTAAGGGGAGCAAGCCCTACACTAGGCAGGATAAAAAGCAAGAGTCAGGCCTGGCTAGGGATGCTCTTCGTCGCATCCCATCATCCATAGTTTCCTGTGGGGCACAAGCAACCTGAGGCTCCTGATCATCCATCGATATCAGGCATGGGAGCTCGAGGTTGTGTTACAGGGCCTAACAGGCCCACCATTTGAACCACTATGGCCCACTAGTCTTAAGCATCTGACATTTAAGACAGTCTTCTTAATTGCCATCACTTCTGCACAGTGGATCTCGGAGTTGGCAGCCCTGTCAGTTTGGAAGGACTTGTGTCAGATACATCCTGACAGGGTGATCCTCCGACTGGACCCGACATTTATTCCCAAGATCAACTCCTGGTTTTACCAGGCCCAGGAGGTCATCCTCCCGGATTTTTGTCCTAAACATCCAAGGGAAAAAAGATGGCACATGCTCGATGTCCGTAGAACTCTATGTAAATACAACAAACACACGGCAGCATTCAGATGATCTGAGTCACTCTTGTGTCTTTTCAACCTGCATCCCAAGGCTGCAAGTTCTCTTCATCTACCATTGGGCATTGGCTGTGTGCATGCATTGCCTTCGCTCACGTCCTGCAATCCAAACTGGTGCCATGCCATATCACCGCACATTCTACGAGAAGCGCCGCTACCACAGCAGCCTTGGTGACCCAGGCATCAATAAAGAAGATTTGCAGGGCGGCAACATGGACTTCCTTAGCTCTGTTTGTTCAGAACTATAAATTGGACAAATTCGCTTCTGCAGAGGGGGCATTTGGGAGGTGAGTCCTTCAGGGCATTCATACCAGCGCAGAGACCCTGGACTCAACAGCTTCCCGCCCTAGTGAAATTTAGCTTGGGTATGTCCCATGTTTGGACTGTCCAAGCAGCGCAGAGGAAAATGACCATTGGCTTACCTGAAAGATCATTTTCTGTGCACTGCGGGAGAGTCCAACCCCACCCTGGGGTCTTTCTCCGCTATTCCTTACAGAATTTTTCTGGAACTTTTTTATGGACGTCGTTGGTCAATATTTCAATGCACAACAGTTCCACGCCTTCATTGAAAAATTGGAAGTCAAGGCAACACCAGAGGCAATGTTAAAGTTTCAATTCAGTCGTGGGCAGATTGGCTGTTTAACCCATGCTTGGACTCACCCGCAGCACACAGAAAATGACCCCTTCAGGTAAGCCAATGGTCATTTGAAACCTGATTCACATAGGACAGTACTCTGACACCATTGTCTTCTTAAAAGGATGGAAGTCCTTATGTAATTAGCTTAAATAACTTAATCTAATTAAGTTGTGAACTTAAATTAGAAAACCTTTGGCAGGGTTTCTATTTATTTAAAGGGAGGATACATAAACGGACATATTTTCAAGGAAGTGGCAGTTTTAAAACTTGAAAAGCTGGAATAACTACCATGAGGCAAGGAGGAATCTGAAAGGAAGTGCAGCAACATAAAGCAAGCAAGATTTAAGTTCATTAAATCAAAGAGACAAATAATCAACAATTGGAGATGTCAGGAAGATATTTACAGAAATTCTTGCCTCAAGCTGGATATTGAAATTTGAAAACCTAAGAAATGTATTGATGAGAAGCAAGGGTAATTATTTAAAGAGAAAACCCAAAGGCGTTTTCATTTGAGGGAAGCAGAAAATATGGTTACCATTTTGCAACAACCTAAGGAGCTGGAACACGGTAAATATATTTTTTTAAAAAAAATTTCTCATACTTATATCCTGCATATTATTTGAAGCTAAACCAAAGTACATCACA